AGAGGAGAGTGATAGCTTGGCTTTTTGACAACAGCCTGATGTTTCAGGTAGCATTAGTCTCAGCTTAGAGTCTAAGAGATGTAAACAGAGTAGAAGCTTATTTCCATGTCAGGTAGGAGTCTGGAGGTACATTAGGCTGGTAGGGTAGTTTTGATCTCCAGCTTCCCCAGTCCAGGTTCCTATCTTATTGCTTTGTGGTGAATGGCCTGGATTCCCAAGGTCACATCATAGTCCAACATGGCCACTGTCACCCCATTCACTCATATTCTAGTCAACAGGAAGGAGGAAGGGACTAAGAAGAAAGGACAAAGGGACATGCACAAGCTGTCTTTTAAGGGATGTTCCAAGAAGCTGTTAGGACTTTGCTGCTTACCTTTTACTGACAAGAACTTAGCAACACGGTCAGAAGAGAGAGTGCTGCTGGGAAATACAGTCTTGTTGTGAATAATCATGCCCCCACCTAAAAGTAAAGGGTGCTAATACTAAAGAAAGGGAGAAGAAAGATTGAGGATGGCTAGCAGACGGTGGCTTGTCACGTTTTAGGGCATACTGTCATTACCAGACCCCATTTTAAACCAAAAGAGAAATTATTTTAATCCTTTAATATGTCAACCAATTTTGTTTTATCTTTTAACAACCCAATGATAGGATACATTCATACAACTCCACAGTTAGGTATTTTAACTAGGAAAGTTTCTAATATCACATGTTTGGTGGCACTAAGATCCTGATTTACCCATGAGAAAAACACTTGTGTATCCTTAAGAGAAACGTTTATTTTTCTTTCCTTCTGAGAGTGTTTTCATTGTGTCTGAAACAATTCTTCACACCAGTAATATATGCATGCCCCATGCTTGTCAGTATTTCAAGTGACCAGTCAGACACAGCTGTAAGAAGCTGTAAGTGGAAGAAGAGATTACAGGTGAGAGGTAATCATGGGATGTTGGAAATGGCCCCTTGCTCCTAATCTTTTCTCATCTCTGTACCCATAATTCCACCTGATAGTCCCCATCAAGTTTAACTCATGCAACTTTATATATCAAACTGTCTTCCTGAGAAAGACGTTTTAATGACTATAAACTTTCCTTTGTTCACGTGGCCATTTATCGTTTAATTAATCCCTTTATTATCTCTCTAGCAGATACCCTCAACTTCATTAAAATAAAATCTCCATTGTTAGTACTTCAAGAATGATTATTTCCATAGCTGGTCTCCACTATCTAACCATTAAATGTGTCCCACCTAATATTATCATCATCTATTTTACACCCAAGCCACAGACCATTGCTGGAATAAGCCTAGATCACTAGAAATCGATGTGTTTTTCATGTCAGTCTGTCTTTGTAGTTACTGGACTGTGCTATGTATTCATCTCACTGATTCTACAGCTCACACCACACAGTGACCGTGTAAACTCTCTTCAATTTATTATGTATCCTTGTTATCATCCTTTAGTATTTATCCTTAGTCATTGGCAATTCATCCTCCATCAACTATGGAATTAGCTCCATACTTGTTTTCTGACTAAATATTCCCTGCCCAGCTGTCCAATGCTCTCATATTCTTCAACCAAACCCACCTTCTGAAAACAAAGTAGGAGAAACAATATTGTGAGAGGGGCATTGTTATGGACTGAATGTATATATAGATATAGACATATCTCCTCTTGGTTCTACTTCTCTGGAGAACCCTAACACACCTTATAGGAAGAGAATATCAGAGCGTTCTCTCTCTTTCTCTCTCTGTGTGCATATGCACCAAGGAAAGGCCATGTGACAACACAGTGAGAAGGCATCCATCCACAAGCCAGGAAGAGAGCTCTCACCAGGAACCAAATTGGCTGCCGCTTTAACCTGGACTTCTAGTCTCCAAAACTGTGAGAAGATAAATTTCTCTTGTTTAAGCCACCCAGTCTATAATATTTTGTTATGGTCACCTGAGCAGACTAATACAGGTATACAGAGGTCCTAAGGAGGGAGTCTCTAAACCAGACCATGACTAGAGGAAGATGGAAGGGAAGGCCTGAAGAGCTCAGCTTGATGGAGAGTGGTACCATATGGCATGCATACTAAGACAGCTCAGGTGCTTCCCATTTATTCTTTGCCACCATCTAGGTCAACCTGGGCACCAGGTGGTCCTTAGTCATGGCTTCTTGGACTCACGTGACTAAGAGAATGCACCAAGCAGGGATCTGAGATGGCTGTTTTCACTTCCCAGAAAGTGTTTGTCCCCCTTGCCTTGATAGGGTGAGGTTCTGTTATTATTCACAAGCTATCTTTTAAATTTTGATTTAGTGATGGAGGAGTTGAATCGAGAATAGGAGGACCTGGTGTCAGACTCTAGTTGAACGAGACTGAAAGCCGAAACTTTAATAAGAAGGTGGGAATAATGTGAGTCATGTCATTATGGAACAAGCACTTAGTTCAAGGTGTAAAGTATTTGATGCACTTATGAATACAAAAGTGCACAGAAAAAAAAAATGGAAGGAAATCTTCTAACACTTTAAGAAGGGTAACCTACAGATGGTCAGTTGAAGAGTTTGTTTTCTAGCTTCTCTGTTCTAGAGTGTTTTTGTATCATTTCATAATTGGATCAAAAGCAAAATGGAAACAGGACATGCTGTTCATACTTTACATTTTAATATTTTAGACTAATATCTCTAAATCCTGACTTTTCTCATTACTTGTGTTTACCTTCTTGGCTGCATCTGTGCAGTTTTGTTACATTGTAAAGCTCATGTCACAAATCATGCTTCACTCTGATCATCAGTGAGGCAAACACGTTTGAGTAAGCTTTTACATTATTTCCATTTAGTAACACACATTATTTCCATTTAATAATACACATTATTTCATTCTCTTTCCTGCTTCCACCACATTACTGAGGAAATCTGTTCGAGTGAAAGCACTGCTTTTCTAGGAACTCACCTTGTTTTGAATCAAGGATGATTTGCATTCTTAACCCGGCAGGAGTTTGGGGGAATTTCTGTGTATCAACATCTTAAAAAGATCTCCATCTCCACAGGAGATGTAGAATGTGGAAGACTTAGCATTTGTTATTAGAGAAAGGATTGCTATTTCTATTCCTGATATAAGTAGTCGACTGCGTGCTAAAGTGGAGGCTGCCATTCAACTGACTTTAGTTATTGTTATTGTTGGAGCTGTCTTGGCAGTAACCTGGTTACCTTTTCAAAGATGAAATCTATGAATATCCAACTGGCATGCAGACTTCACAGAGAAGCCCAGCAATCTATTCCTGCTCTAACCTCAGCAGCATGAGTTCCCAACCCCGGGAAGCTGGGTGTAGAACAAGCTCATGTACTTTAGGCTCCTTTAAGTAGTAAGCAGTTTAGCCTGTTCCAAATGGTGAGCAGTGTATGGACAGTGTAGGGCCACCCTAATTGTCCCCGCTCCCTCAAAAAACAAAACACAAAACTGGCAACTACTGATAATGTAAGCTCTGCTGTCAAAAACACAACTGCAAACAATAGATTGAAGGCACAACCGTGCAGAGAAGTATCTCAAGAGGGATAATTAAAACACACATGCATACCCAGAGGAAAACAGATGACTTCCGTGTCACCCCTCCCAACCCCCATCCCAATCCTCTTGTATTCTCAATAAGTAATAAGACAGGGGAAAGGGGTTGTATGCTAGAGTGACTCTAAAATTGGCAATTAATAAGGATGCTGCTTTGACTAAGATTTCCTTCTTGCTAAATGTTTAAATATATCTTTTCGTTTGCCTCCACCCACATTCTGTCTGCTTCAGGGAAGAGTTCTTGTACCTTTTGACTTCTCTGACTCCAGACGTGCACAGGGGACCTTTTCCTAAATGAAAAGATTTGTCTCTGCATGTACTTGTCTTCTTAGGTATAGAAAGACAGAGCTGTAACTATGTGAGTCAGAGTGAGCTTTCTTTACAGATATGCCCTGGGCATCTGTTGCGTTTCTTTTTAATCCTTCATGTTTGAGGTGTGCCTGTATGTGTGTGTGGAGGGGAGGGGTGGGGGGGAAGAGGGAGAGAAATTGAAAACCATAATCTACCCCCCCCATATCTTGCTCTTGTTACAATTTATTAGGATGTGGTTCTAAACGAAGGGTCTCAGCACTTTTTCTACAAAGAGAAGCTTGAACCTGGATCAAGAAAGAATAAAAACCAAAAAGGACAGGATTTTTTCCCTTTCATTTATATTATATCCAGTGCATGAGATTCTCATTGCTCACAATAGGAACATGGTCATCCAGGTGCCTATATTCTCTTCTGTGAGTAAAAGCTGAATGGGGATGCAGATAAAGTGACAATGGGGAAGGGGCGGAAAACTGGAGGAAAGCTACGTATTCCCATTGGGAGGTAGGGGATTTTTAGGTTTCTGACATGTCATGCTGTTCATTATCCAAATCATTCTAGAGAATTCTGAAGACTGCATCAATCTAAATTTAAGCTTTTTTATAAACTGATTTATTCATTCAATAAATATTTATTGGATGCATACAATGTGCCAAGCATTCTGGAGGATGCAAAACGAATAACATAGTCTTTTCTCTCAAAGAGTTTACGATTGCATAGAGGAGGATGATATACATATATATATATATATATATATATATATATATGCAAATAACTGTATTATTTTATTCAGGACTCATTTAGTTGCAAATGACAGAATCCAAAAACAAAGTCACTTAAATGGAAAAGGAATGTATTGGTTCAGGTAACTACAAAGTTTTTGAGTAGATCTTTAGGCACAGCTGAATTCAGGGGTTCATTTGATATAAGTTTCTCTGAATTCTCACTCTCCTCCCCTCCCCAGTGCTTCAATTTCTTTAGATTTGGACTCTTTGGACAAATCACTGTGGACAGAAGTGTCATGATTGCTTAGTACTGGTCATATAACCTTTGCACCTACAACTATGCCTGGACCTTGGCAAGTGCTTATGAAACATTTGCTAAATAAATAGAATGTTTTCAGTAGCTTGGTGAGATTTAATGGGGTGAACCACAGATTGTAAGAGATTGATGAATGACACGGTGAGGAGATAAGAAGACAGTGAGTATAACTAATTTCTTGAGAATTTCTTCCAGGAGAGGAAGGAGGAGAGGACTATTCTTTGGATGGAATCTGTTTTTGTTCATAAGGGGAAAACATAACTCCCAGGCTTATGAGAATAATGAAAACTAATATAGTAACGTTCTTGAGGAAGTGCGTGTGTGTGTGTATTGGAGGTGGGGTAGAGTGACAACAAGAGCACAGGTGGAATTTTACTTTGGAAATAATTTTCCTCCAAAGCAGGAGAAAAAGACAGAAGACAGGTGAGGAAAAAGATTTTAAAAGAAAGTGGAAAGCAGCTGAATCGTTCAGAATCCAATGGCTTTTGTGTACTCAGTCCACCAATATAAGAGAATGAAATATGAAGTAGAAAAAACTGCCCAGACACTGTAATTGAAAGGATAGGAATGCTATAAGAATGGATTCCAATGATTTTTAGAGTTAGATAACATGAACTGCTATCACACACACATACATATACATAGTGTATAAAATGGGATCAGTGATCAGATTCTAATAAAAGGTTTGTTTTCAGCTTTTTCTCTCCAAATATATCCGTGTGGCTCTTTCTTAATATGATTCTCAGTTTTTTAAATCGGGAAAATTACTATCGTAATACAAATTCCCTGAAGTCAAGATGAAGGCATGTACTTGCATTTGACCAGGGATAAGAAGGAAGTCAGGACACTTACATTGTTTATTGGCTCCAAAAATCAGCTTATTGGATGATTATACGTTTGCAAGAGCATCTGCGTTTCTCAGCATTCCAAATTATACAAAGAAAGTGAGTATTCTCCAATCTACATGTTCTTTTCCTTTTTTTTTTTTTAACATTTGTTTATTTATTTATTTATTTTATCTTTGGCTGTGCTGGGTCTTCTTTGCTCCACGCAGGCTTTCTCTAGTTGCGGCGAGCGGGGGCTACTCTTCGTTGCGGTGCGTGGGCTTCTCATTGCAGTGGTTTCTTTTGTTGCAGAGCACAGGCTCTAGGCGCATGGGCTTCAGTAGTTGTGGCTCGCGGGATCTAGAGCACAGGCTCAGTAGCTGTGGCACATGGGCTTAGTTGCTCCACGGCATGTGGGATCTTCCCAGACCAGGGCTAGAACCCGTGTCTCCTGCACTGGCAGGTGGATTCTTAACCACTGCGCCACCAGGGAAGTCCCTCCAATCTCCATTTTCCGATATTCTTGGGGAAATGATGAGAGTTGATATCTTTAAAATTTTGTATAGAATGGAATTATTTCATATCCCATTAGAATTCCAACATTATAATTACGAGTCTGCTAAACACACACACAAGTATCTGAAAAGACATGATAATATTTTCATTTGCAATAAAAAAGTGATTTTTGAAATCAAATTAATACACCTAAAAATAAAATGAAATAAAATTCTATTGTATGTAAGTCACCTAGTATATATCTAGTTTGTGGTGTTTTGTTATAGCAGTCCGAACCATGACAGAACTTTCAGAAAACCCAACGACAAAACAAACAAACAAATCCTTATCCTCTCTGCAGTCCTCAGTCAGAACAGAGAAGGATAAAGTATAGGATGTCAGAGATATAAAAATTGGAAAACATGGGAATATAAGGCTATGAAGAACTGAAGTGCCTGACGACAGTGTCCTTACTGCGGAAAGAGACAAATGAAAACAGAGGCAAGCTCATGAACTGTGACAGTGGGAAAATGGTCAAGGGAGTAGAGGTTATGGGGATATTCAGAGCAGATCAAATAGGAGTGAGAAAGTAGGAGACGTTAAAGTGATTGTGAGCCTTGAGGGGAAAGCAGTTTTGATGCTGTGTTGCTAGGCAACTCAAGTGGAGAAGGAATGGAGGTAACGGGAGTTGAGGAGACTGAGGCATAAGAGGTCAAGGTTGTGGATGAGTCTGGAACTTGCAACTGTAAAGTATAACATCATACAGATGGACCCAACCCCAGGGGTGAGCAGTGAAAGGACTTAGAATGAGGTGAAAGAAGGGGGACTTAGAATGAGGTGAAAGAGGGCGAATCATCCCTGGGGGGTGAGCCATCTCTGGGGCTGTGTATTTTGTCCATTACCATTTCTAAACAGTGCTAACAGGACCATCTGGGTCAGTCCTGGCCAGAGACAGGCCATCAGGTTCTTAGCCAGACAGGAGATGTGGAAAGGGTTATCAGACCTTGCCTGGTGCACGGGGAGGCTGTGGTTGAGTGGGTAGCTGTATAGGTATATTGTTTTGTGTTTTGAGCCTTAAATCCCTTTAAAATAACTGACAGCAGAGATACCTTCTACCCACAATCCTAGAGCCAGCCCTTGCCAGGTACCCCAAAACTGGGGAGAATTTCTCATCATGACATCCTAAGAAAAGTCTACCCCTGGTTTACACGCATAATAACCTACATGATGACGTCTTTCCTTACCCCCACCACTTTCTAAACATTTACATTCTTAACTTGTGTCCTACGTTTTATTAATTTATCCATTCACTCACTCATGTAGCTATTGTATTTCTTTTTTTTTTTTTTTAACATCTTTATTGGGGTATAATTGCTTCACAATGGTGTGTTAGTTTCTGCTTTATAACAAAGTGAATCAGTTATACATATACATATGTTCCCGTATCTCTTCCCTCTTGCGTCTCCCTCCCTCCCACCCTCCCTATCCCACCCCTCCAGGTGGTCACAAAGCATGGAGCTGATATCCCTGTGCCATGTGGCTGCTTCTCATTAGCTATCTACCTTATGTTTGTTAGTGTGTATATGTCCATGACTCTCTCGCCCTGTCACAGCTCACCCTTCCCCCTCCCCATATCCTCAAGTCCGTTCTCCAGTAGGTCTGTGTCTTTATTCCTGTCTCACCCCTAGGTTCTTCATGACATTTTTTTTTCTTCTTAAATTCCATATATATGTGTTAGCATACGGTATTTGTCTTTTTCTTTCTGACTTACTTCACTCTGTATGACAGACTCTAGGTCTATCCACCTCATTACAAATAGCTCAATTTCGTTTCTTTTTATGGCTGAGTAATATTCCATTGTATATATGTGCCACATCTTCTTTATCCATTCATCTAATGATGGGCACTTAGGTTGTTTCCATCTCTGGGCTATTGTAAATAGAGCTGCAATGAACATTTTGGTACATGACTCTTTTTGAATTTTGGTTTTCTCAGGGTATATGCCCAGTAGTGGGATTGCTGGGTCATATGGTAGTTCTATTTGTAGTTTTTTAAGGAACCTCCATACTGTTCTCCATAGTGGCTGAACCAATTCACATTCCCACCAGCAGTGCAAGAGTGTTCCCTTTTCTCCACACCCTCTCCAACATTTATTGTTTCTAGATTTTTTGATGATGGCCATTCTGACTGGTGTGAGATGATATCTCATTGTAGTTTTGATTTGCATTTCTCTAATGATTAATGATGTTGAGCATTCTTTCATGTGTTTGTTGGCAGTCTGTATATCTTCTTTGGAGAAATGTCTGTTTAGGTCTTCTGCCCATTTTTGGATTGGGTTGTTTGTTTTTTTGTTATTGAGCTGCATGAGCTGCTTGTAAATTTTGGAGATTAATCCTTTGTCAGTTCCTTCATTTGCAAATATTTTCTCCCATTCTGAGGGTTGTCTTTTGGTCTTGTTTATGGTTTCCTTTGCTGTGCAAAAGCTTTGAAGTTTCATTAGGTCCCATTTGTTTATTCTTGTTTTTATTTCCATTACTCTAGGAAGTGGGTCAGAAAGGATCTTGCTGTGATTTATGTCATAGAGTGTTCTGCCTATGTTTTCCTCTAAGAGTTTGATAGTTTCTGGCCTTACATTTAGGTCTTTAATCCATTTTGAGCTTATTTTTGTGTATGATGTTAGGGAGTGATCTAATCTCATACTTTTACATGTATCTGTCCAGTTTTCCCAGCACCACTTACTGAAGAGGCTGTCTTTTCTCCACTGTACATTCCTGCCACCTTTATCAAAGATAAGGTGTCCATATGTGCGTGGGTTTATCTCTGGGCTTTCTATCCTGTTCCATGGATCTATCTTTCTGTTTCTGTGCCAGTACCATACTGTCTTGATTACTGTAGCTTTGTAGTATAGTCTGAAGTCAGGGAGCCTGATTCCTCCAGCTCCTTTTCTCATTCTCAAGATTGCTTTGGCTATTCGGGGTCTTTTGTGTTTCCATACAAATTGCGAAATTTTTTGTTCTAGTTCTGTGAAAAATGCCAGTGGTAGTTTGATAGGGATTGCATTGAATCTATAGATTGCTTTGGGTAGTAGAGTCATTTTCACAATGTTGATTCTTCCAATCCAAGAACATGGTATATCTCTCCATCTATTTGTATCATCTTTAATTTCTTTCATCAGTGTCTTATTCTAACCCCTCCCTTTAGAAGGAAAGCTTCATGAAGGTATGGATTTTTGTTATATTTTATGTTCCAGTTTCCTTCCCTGATCTGTGCCTTTCTAGTGGAAGTTGAATACACACACACACACACACACACACACACCATGTATATACATACATATATATATATATATTTTTTCCAATTACCTGTGCAAAGTTTTTTGATAACAGTTTATTGCAAAAGGATCAAAAAAATAAAGTTGGCACAATACTATTATAAATAGATTAAATATTTCTTCTCTTGCCAAGGTATTCCTAAATAAATTTGCTTTAGCGGTATTTAAAGGATATAACAATGTAAAAGAGTAAGGAATTGAATTGCGTAGTCTATCCCTTTGTCTTCCCACACCTGTAATTACCTCTGTTTTAGTACATCTTACTCTTCTGCCTAAAGAAGGCATAGGTCGTTCTCTCTCTCGTTCGCCTTCTTTTCTCACCACCGTACCCCACATACACACACTCATTTACCACATGTTCATCCTTAAACCTATTTGTCAGATCTGTGATTTCCATGTAAGTACTCCAATTCACCCTCTCTTAGGCATACCTCCCCTGATTTGCATCACTAATGAGAATAATGAAATTTCTAGATTCTGTACTGCTCTTGCTGTATCTTTATAATCATT